AAAAAAAAAAAAAAAAAAAAATATTATTTTTGTGATAGTATGAAAAAAATTTAAATATGTTAAAAATTAAAAAAAAAAAAAAAAAAAATGAAATGAGAAGAAAAAAATTAATAAGTATTATCAAAATAAATTAATTATAATTTACATATAAAAATAAAATTCTTTCATATAATAATTAATAAAAAACTTTTATTTTTTTTGTTTTATTATCTTTTTTATTATTTAATTAAAAATTGTTGTAATTAAATTTATCATATATAAACTGATTTAAATCTAAAATATACATTTCTATTTCTTTTACAGAATAATGGTTTAAAGGATATGTATTTTTAAACGTCTTATTTATTATTTGTGACTTAAATTTTTATAAAATATCTATAAAATTATTAATAAATATAATGTATAATTAAATATTCCAGAATTATCTCATAAAAAAAATAACAAAATATTTTAGTTTTAACTTTAGATTTATTGAGAAAATAAATATTTAAAAAATATTAATTGTTTAATGTTTTCCAAAAAATATACAAAATCTTTTTTTTTTTTTTTTTTTGTAGAAAAAAAATTAACTAAATATGTGTTAAATATGATTAAAAATTATTTAAATTATTCAAATCAAAAAAACAAAATTAAATTTTTTTATAATAAATAAATAAAAAAGACAATATATATATATTATCAACAGATTATTCTTTTTTTGTTATATAATAATTTTTGATAAAAATATAAAAAAAAAGTATTTTTCACAAAAACATGAACAAACAATATGTAATATAAAGGAAATAATATAACATTATAAAATGAAATAGGTTGCATTTAGGATATTAAAAAAAAAAGATATATATATATATGTATACATTTCTTAAATATTTATTAAGAATTTTTTTCAAATATTCTTGATTCCTTTACGGTAAAATAGTTATAATAGTATTAATCAAAAAAGAAATAAATACTTTATTACATTTCTGAAATATTATATATATATAATTTAAAAAAAAGAAAATTTGCGCCTTAAAAATAAATAAATAATAGGCTTTTATAAACAAAAGAAGAATATAATTAATATAATATCATATTAGACACACACACACACACACACATATATATATATATATATATATATAGCAGATAACAAAAATAAGGTTATAAACAAATAAAGTTTTTAATTATTCAATAATAATATAAAAATATATTTTTTTTTTTTTTTTTTATTTTCTATTAATTTCAAATATTATTTTTTTTCAGTGATTTTCTCATTTTTTTTTTCTCTTTTCTTGATAATTTTTTGATATATTTTTTACTATTTATTTTTTCAACTTTAAATTTTGTATTAACATAACCTAAAAAAAAAAAAAAAAAAAAAAAAATTAAATGGAAGAATAATTGTCCTTATTATGTTATATAAATACATTTTTTTATTATTATTTTATATATTTTATTTTTTTTTTTAAATTAAATTTACTTGGGTCATTAAATAGGTAAGGAATATTTATAGGTATATAATAAGAATTAATTAAAGAAATTAAATGTTTTATTTTTTCAAAAATAGAAATACAAATGTCATTGTCATTTTGCAAATTTCTAATCCCAATATGGCTTGTATAAGGAAAACTATTAAATTCACTTGTATTAAAATAACTAAAAGATAAAAATATATATAACATATTATTTAAATTATATTTATAAAAATATTATAAACAACTTTCAAATATTTTAGATAAGATATCAACATCTTCATTTGAAAATATCAATTTTTTTATGAATATATAATTATTTTAAATAATGCATTAACACTTTATGTAATATGTTTGTATAATAAGAGATGTATTCATATATTAAATAGAGTATTATAAAATTATATATTTACTTTTGTTCTATTAAGACAAAGTTGACTTTTTTTAAGGATGCTATTATAGGAATATGCTTATAAAATTTCTCGTAACTTGTAGAAAAAAAAAAAAAAATATATGTAAAATTAAAATTATAATTTAAAAAAAAAAAAAAAAATATATAATTTTTTTAATATACTGAATTGTTCTAATTAGTATAAGAGCAACCAATTCATTATGTTCTAAGCAGTCTATAATTTCGTTATGTTTAAATAAAAAAAATTTCATTGATTTATTTGAACACATAATTCTAACAATTTTTAAAAATAATAAAAAAAAAAAAATAAAATAAGTAAATAATATTTATATATATTTATCTAAGATAAATTAAAATTCTTGTTATTACTCTAAAAGAGTCTTCAATATTGAATTAGTTTTTACATGATCTAATGATTCTCTAATAAAAAAAAAAATTAGTGTTTTTTTTAAAATTTAAATATAAAAAAAAAAAAACAAAATTATATATATGAAATAAAATTTAAAATATTACAATTCTATGTTATAAGGTGACTCCATAACCTTTTTGCATTTTATTTTTCCTTTTTCTTCCATCATTAGTTTTTATTTGTTTAAACATTTATTTAGCATATTAATGAAAAAAAAAAAAATAGCAATTTTTTGTTTATTGTCATATTTTATTTGTTCCTATTATCTTCATTTGTACTCTCATAATTAAATATATTTTATTCTTTGATTCTAATTTTATATGTTTTTATTTTTATTTTTATACAATTTTTTTTCTTTTTTCTTTTTTTTTTTTTTTTTT